GGGTGTGAAGTAGTATTTCACTGTGGTTTTGATTTGCATTTCCCTGATGTCTAATGATGTTGAGCATCTTTTCATGTTCATATTGGCTACTTGTACATCTTCCGAAGGGAAATGTCTATTCAGATTCTTTACTTATTTTTTCATTGGGTTGTCTTTTTATTGTTGAGTTATAAAAATTCTTTATATAATCTAGATACAAGTCCCTCATCAGATATATGATTTGCAAATATTTTCTCTCATTCTGTGGATTGTTGTTTCCCTTTCTTGATGGTGTTCTTTGAAGCACAAGTTTTTAATTTTTATGAAGTCCAATTTATCTATTTTCCTTTTATTACTTAGGCTTTTGGTGTCACATCTAAGAAAACCATGTATTTTAATATTAATTCCCATGTCAATAGGGATCACTTGGTGAAGAAATTATATAAAATGAAAAATCAAAGTATGAAAATTATGGAGGACTCAAATTCAGAATCAATTTTCTTGTGACAAAGACACTGTAAGTGTAATAAATACACATAATAAAGTAGTGACTAGTAAATACAATGTTGATCAATCTGCTCAAAGTCTGAATGGCTTTTGTATTAACCAGTGAAAAGTACAAACCCCTTAGAAAAATGATTTCCAATCACTATGTTCAGGTAAAATTTAGTTAAGGTTTCTATCTATAAAATTATAAAATATTTGTGGACAATAAAATAGTCAGAAGTACAGCCTTCTTATTTAAATGAAAACACTTACCTGCTAAGTAATTCTAGTCCAGCAGAGTACTTTGGCAAACATGAAACAGTCCTGCCAACAGAAACACTTATTTTATTAAAATTGTTTCTGATTTAGGCCAATTTAAAAAAAAGTTACATACAAGAATTTTGACACTGTCAATTGTAATGTGAAATACTTTAAAATCAATAATGACAATTTATCTAAACTTTTAGGGAAATGTATTGCTTTATTTCAAAGGTAATATACTATCAGCATCATTTTGCCCAAATATTATGTTTAGCACATAATACAAATATGTTAATGCTAAATAACAAAAAAATTTTTTAAAAGCTCATCATCTATAGGTTGAAAATGAAATGTGGTCATATGCTTTACTTTAATAAAAACTAAAAAAAAAATCACACAACACCAATGTTTTCATATAGAACAGATAACATGGCTAAAGAGGCTTGCTGGCCAAGTACTGTTCCATTATTAATTTGCTTCTTAATGTTTTTAATTCCCTTGGTGTGAAGTTGCTCTTTTACTTTGCTCTTAATATAAAAAGAAAAATAAAAATGATTGTGACAGAACAATAGCCCACTGAATGTCAGGGTAAAGCAATTACGCGTCACCATTTTTTCAACCGTTTTATAATTTTATCAAAAAATTTTAGTGTTACAAACTTTAGAGAGAATTAGTAAATTGTTTGTAGTCAGGTGCACTTACAGATGTAAAACCCACTAAAGTAATTACACTTATCATGGCTACAACCAAGTTGTATGAAATTTAAGTCAAAGTAAATAAAATCTTAGCACAAGCTTACCTTGGTTTGCTTTTTACTTTAGCTTCTCTTGACTTGTCACTTAAAGTCTTCAGCCTAAATTCAACAAGTATAAGTATCATATTCTTATAGCTCAAGAGACTTTTTTCAATTGTAAATTTCACAGCTGTTACATTTTGGGTAGGATAAGCTAAATTTTTTTTGCAAAAATTAAGCACCTCTCCAGACAACAAATATTTGTAAAAACATACAGTGTTTACTATATGTCAGATACCACAAATGAAAAATTTGTAACAAACATGATATGCAGTATATAGTACATAGTCTTTATGTAAGGAACCATGAATGGAAAATTTGTAGCAAGTATTTTTATATTTTTTTCTTGTCCCAAATCTGTTTTAGAAACAATTCCTAAATGTGATTGGACTAGAGAAACCTCATTTATCTGGCATCATTAGGAAAAGGAGTAGTCCACATAGACGAACTTGGTAGGTTTAACAAAGATACCTAAGCACACATTTTATTAAGCAGATGCTATGCCAAGTACTCACATCTCTTTAAGTCCCAACATTTGGTGAAATTTTTAGCTGTTTATAAAAAGCTTTCTAAAATATATTGAAAACCTTTTTCATTAAAGAGGACTTGGCATATTCTATTTAACGTTTTCTGATAACTCTGGGTCCTTATTATGACTATGACTGGCTGCATTTTGTGGCAAAATAGTCTCTTATTTCCAAGCTAGAAATGCCTCTTCATTTACCAACTTAAAACCAATCTACACTAGTTTTTTTAGTTTGTTTGGGATCCTGTGTCTGTTTTCTCCAAATTTAAGTTTTCCATCTCCACCATTGGCCATCTCTTTATCCGCTATCCTTAATGCTTCTGCTAGCTACTTAACTATAGCAGCCTCTTCCCTTTCTATTTGCTTTAAATTATTGGGCTGGAAAACAGATAACTGGGCTAGAAATGCGTATATAAAATAGGCTGTTCTATATATAAAATATGAAGTTCATGCACTTTCTACAATTTATTTTACTTCATTGGCCCACTGTTACCTTTTTTGGCTGCGGACTCTGTATCATATTATTGAGGTTGCCAAAAAGTGAGTGCTAAATTATGATATAATCTCATGTGAGATATTACTGTACATACTCTTCTTAATTTGATTACTTCAACAAATATTCATTTCTAAATAGAGTATGAAGCACAGGCCACAGTGTCACTGCTAGGCCCTACACAGCCGTTGTTAAAACAGAAATAAGTGTTCCTTCTTCAAGACACTTGATTGCCATCGGCCATAAACTGTCCTAATATACAAGCTGACTCTCCTACGAACACTTCAACCCTGTGTTGTGCAGCTGTAAGCTGCACACCTATACGTGCAAACCCCGACACAGGATTCCATCGTTTTTGTCAATAGTTCTGGCTAAGCATCAGAAGGAACTTCTGATAGAATGCTTTTTTAACAAATTGGAAAGCCAATTTCATACAAATATTTTTATTTTACTCTATGTTCTTTTTTAAAAATTAAAATATCAATGAGATTGATTTCTCTATAATGTTAAAAAGACTCAGCAATCTCTTTAGCACAAAACTAATTTGTATATCTCTCTCCAGATGAGTCTAGAGAATTGTACTTAAAAGTTTAACCTGTCCTAGAGATACAATATAAATTTCCAAGTTTATCTTAGAAACTATTATAGTAAATCTAGTTTAAATAGATCACATAACAACGAGAGAAAGATATTTTGATAGCCATGCTCACGATTTCCACTTCAAAATTTGAGACAGGCACTTAGTTGTGACATCCCAGGTAGAATTATCCTAGATGGTCATACACAGCAGTGCATTACAGTCAAAACAATTTTAGAATTATTTTTAGTGATTCAAGACAATTCCATATGGTTAGGTGTTACAAGGATATTGAAAGGGAACTGCTAAGCTCCTCTTTGGACCACTCTCATCTTGCAAATCTCTAGTTGGTATTTCAAATGTTTATTTCTAAAATAGCTTTTTAGAAATAAGTCAAAGAAATCTGCCTCACCCGGGAAGAGCGCAATGATCATAATACCAACATGGGCCAGTGAAGCAACGTTCTCCACAACTAGACTGAAGAACAAAAGGACAGCAACTTGTCTGTTCCCCTTCCCTGATTCCCCAACACTGTTCCCCTCCCCAATTCCCCAATAAAATCTTAAAAAAAAAAGAAGAGGAGAGAACAAACCACAAGTTGGAATACTGCACGAAGAAATGAGAAATGATCAATCATCACTCCCATGAGTATCTCTTTCACTTTGGGTCATGTTAAATTCAGATCAATTTCTATCAACTGAATATGGTAATATTTTATCAAGCAAAGAAATTCATGTTGAATTTCACATCTTTACTTCACTAGCACTTTTATTGTTCAGTCAATTTATTGCATAATGTTGACCATTAATCCCAGTCACATTAATATTTTAGACATCTTTAAAAGTGCAGAACTTTGGATTACTATGTAATGTTTGTTGGGATTAAATAAAGATCACTTTAAAAAAATAAAATAAACTTTGAATTTCTCAATTGTAATATATTAACTTTGGGGTTCTCCTCTGTAACCCATCCCTGAAAAGCAAAAGAAAAAAGTTAGCTGGGAATAAGAGAGAAAGAAGGGATGTGATAAGGCGCTGAAAATAAAATTGTTGAAAGGGTCAGTGAGAGCTTCCCCATGTGGCTCCTTAACAACCATCGGCTTTAAAAATTGGTCTTTAACCAAATGTAATGTGTGGAACTTATCTGATCTGGAATTGAACAATCAGCTGTAAAAAGACATTTCTCAGAACCAGAAAATCTGATTATGGACTGGATAATTGATAATATCAAAGAATTAGTGTTAATTTTGTTAGATATGATGCTGGCATTTATGTAATATCTGTATTTTTTTTAAAGGATTTTTTTTTTAATTGGGGATTTGGGGGATGGGAACAGCACTGGGGAATTGGGGGAAGGGGGACAGACAAGTTGCTGTCCTTTAGTTCTTCAGTCTAGTTGTGGAGGACATCGTCTCACTGGCCCAAGTTGGCACCATCATTGNCTCAGTTGGTTAAGAGCTCACTCAAGAGTTTGAGCTCTGAGCAACAGCGGTTCGAGTCCCGGCCCGAGCTGAGAAGCCGCTGAGCTGCCAACTGGTGGCAGGATGGCTCAGCTAAAAAAAAAAAGTGTCAATGTCATGAAAGATAAAGACAGGCTCAGGAACTGTTTCAGATTAAAGGAGATGAAGGCGATATGGTGACAAAATACAAGGTGTGATCTTGCATTGGATACTGCTCCAGAGACAAGGCCATTAGTGGGACAACTGATGAAATCTGAATAATGTCAGTAGTTTACAGGCATACCTCATTTTATTGCACTTTGCTTTATGGCACTTCACAGATGTTTGTGTTTTTTACAAATTGAAGGCAAGAGCCTCCACCAGCAAAAAGATTATGACTTGCTTTTATTGTGATACTTGCTTTACTGTGGTGGTCTGGAACCTAACCCACAATATCTCCTCAGTATGCAGGTATTTATCAATGTTATTTTCCTGGTTTTCATAATCGTACTATTGTACTTGATCCTCAAAATATGAAGCAATAATTGACAAAATTGAAGGGAGAAATAAACATTCTCCAATAATTGTTAGACAATACCCTACTCTCAATGGATAAAATGACCAGACAGATATAAGGAAAGAAAGAACATGAACAATACAATAAATCAACTAGATATACTTTCTGTCTTATGGATCACCTATTCTGCACATTTCATATAAATGGAATCATACAATATGTGACCTTCTGTATTGGTTTTTTTCACTTGAAATATTTTTAAGTTACATCCACACTGTAGCATCTATCAGTACTTTATTCCTTTTTCAAGGCTGAGTAATAATCCATTGTATGAATATACCACATTTTGTTTATACATTCTCAGCTGATGAATATGTGTGTGGCTGCTACTTTTTGGTTGTTATAAACAACACTGCTTTATGAATAATACTGCTATGCACATTTGTGTACAAGATTTTATGAAGACATAAGTTTTTAATTCTCTTGGTGTAAAATTACTGGGTCACATGTAATCCTATAATTAACTTTTTAAGAAACTGCCAAACTGTTTTCCACGGTGGCTGCCCCATTTTACATTCACACCAGCAATGCATAAGGTTTCTAAAATTTCTTCTCCCCA